AATCCTTATCCATAGGATATAGATAGCTTCTCCAAGGAACTTCATAGTGAAACACTTCCCAAGCCAGGACTTCACTTCCTGTAGAGCTGGGATGTCATTTCCTATGAGTAGTATGTCATCCGCATACAATACCAAAAAGCTAACTATAATCCCACTAGCCTTGACATATACACAAGATTCATCTTCACTCCTCGAAAATCCAAACGCTTTGACTTTCTCATCGAAACAAACATTCCATCTGCGAGGTGCTTGTTTCAGTCCATATATGGATTTCTGAAGCTTACACACTCTATTAGGGTACTCTGTACTGACAAAACCCTCTGGATGACTCATGTAAACATCCTCAGCTGACCTGCCATTAAGGAAAGCGGTTTTGAGATCCATTTTCCATATTTCATAATCAAGAAATGAAGCAATAGCTAACATAACCCTAATAGACTTAATATTTGCTACTGGTGAAAAGGTCTCATCATAATCAACTCTCGGAGTTTGAGAAAAGCCCTTTGCAACTAGTCGTGCCTTATATGTGTGTACATTACCATCCATGTCAGTCTTCTTCTTGAAGATCCATTTGCACTCGGCTGTATTACGACCTGGTACATTGTCAACCAAGTTCCAAACTTGATTTTCATACATGGATTGTCTCTCACTGTCCATAGCCTCTTTACATTTAGCAGACTCTGGGCCGACCATGGCTTCCGTGTAGCTGTTAGGTTCATTCAGACTTACTAGTGTACTATCACTGATAAGTGTATCACCTTCCGCAGTAATATGGAAACCATAGTAATGCTAAGGTGCATTCCTATCTCTCGTGGAACGCCTCAGAGGTACAGACTCGTCAGTTGGATCAACAAGAGTTTCCTCTTTAGCTTGACTACTAGGGTTTGAGGTTCCTTCACCACTTGACTCTTGAATTTCTTCAAGGTCAATTTGCCTCCCACTGTTTCGTTGGCTTATGAACTATCTCTCTCGTGAAAGAATCATCTCCTTGCTACAAAGACCACATTATCACTGTGTCTATAGAAGAGGTAACCAAAGGATTTATGTGGGTAGTTGATGAAAATACAGGATTTATGTGGGTAGTTGATGAAAATACACCTCTCACAGGTACCAGTGAAGGGTGATTTTGTTATTTTTCCAAGTAAACAAGATTCAAAACTATCATCCAACTTTAGGTCAAATGACTCCAAGACTCCATTGTTTTGGAGTTGGCCTATGTGTTTCTTGATCACATGTCCAATATGACAATGCCATAATGATGCTTTATCCAGGTTAGTGGAATAATCGATACACAACACATTATTTCCTAGGTCATCAACAACCCACACAGTTTCATATAAACCATCACAAGGTAATGCTTTAAAATAAAGAATATTATTAAAGAAAGCTTTAATACCACCACATTTATTATCAAATGAAATAGTAAATCTGTTTATACAAACCGTGAAAGGAAATAATATTTCTCGCCATTTCAGACGAGTAACAACATTTATTCAAATCTAATGTTAACCCACTACTTAGGAACAAAGAATAAACTCCAATCACTACTAGAAAACATCCCTGTAATGACGCGCAAACAATGACACGATACGCAAAAGCGTGTGCCCTAAAAATAATGTTATCTCTTCTAAAATTTGAAGGAAAGTGGGCACGCTTTTATGCGTGCCCTAAAACTAATGTCGAACAAAAAAAGTAAAAACAAGGAGGGCACTTATTTAAAAATGAGCGTCGTCAAGAAATGTCGCTTTATTTTTTTAATGAAAGGCGCGTTCTTTTCTTTTGCGGCTGGGGGGAAACGAAAATCCCAAAAGTTTGAAAGGCCGCCATTGTTACCCTCTACCTTATTTCCATCGTTCTTCTCTCTATTTCACTCTCTATCTCTCTCACTCTAATACCCAAAAAGCCCTAATAACATCACCAATCCTCTTTTTTCCTGTAACGCTCGCAATATCCGGGCTAGTCAATTTAGAGGCAATAGGGGTCGAAAACGACTTTTCGACAAAATATTATTTAGAATAAATAATCCAAACCAAGTTGTATAGTATTTCACAAGGTTTCTGTACATATAAAGAACACTGAAATCCGAGTTATAACGAAGAAGTTATGACCCGTCGAAGTTTCGCGACGAAACCGACATGGCACCGGGAAACGTAAATAGTGAATTTATGATAGAGCGAGATTTAGCCTTAGCGCTCTAAATAAAAGTCGTAGAATACGTTAAAATAAGAACATCGATAATAAGAACGCCCAAATCTGACTTCGTATGAAGAAGTTATGATTTTTCGAAGTTTCGGATTAACAATGTACAACCCGAAATTCGAATATTAGATCGAGAGATTTTTAGCCGACACGACCTAAACGAGAATCGAAGATCTCGATAAGAGTAGCGTAACGAGAAAAAGATGGGCTAAAACAGACGGTGGATAAAGAAGTTGTGAGGATTTAACGGACCAATCCTGTCCCGGTCAGTTAATAATGTAAAATTTAAAATCAATTCAAAATTAGCCGACAAAGTCTAAACGAAAGTTGTAGAGTATGTTCCCACCTTCGCGTGGATATAAAGAACGTCAAAAACGGAGCTTGTATGCGAAAGTTATGATTTTTAGAAGTCGGAAAGTAAATTTGCGAGACCTGTTGCGAGGTTGATGACGTGGCTGCATCTGGGCCGTTGCTTGTCGACCAAGGCTTCGCCTCAGATTGTGACACGCCACCCTCGCAGTACACCCCGCGTTCGAAGATGTTATGCCCCGCATAGGTCTAATCTGATCCTTCCGATGGAGTGCAAGACAGCTGGGTCCGAGCTGGTGGTCTTATCCGAGCAGTACGCCCAGCGTAATGACCGAAGCCTGGCACTATAAATAAAGGTGCGAAGTGCTCCGGATTTCACACACATTTCTCATATCATTCTCTCACTAGTTTCTCTCTCTAGCTCATCTAAACCCCCCTAAGCCCTATTTCAACCCCTAGCACCCTAAGGAAGCCCCGAGGCTCCCGGAATCCCGAGAAAAAGGAGTCTTTCGGTTTCGAAACGCTGCTCCAAATAAAGTTCCGGTTTTCGATAAAATTCGCTGTAAGTGAGCTACGCTTATGCAACTTTTAATATAGTTTCCGAATAATTATAGGAATGTTATTAGGTCCTTAAAATAATTATTTGGGCTATTCTTATGAGTTATATTGAGTGCTATTAACGTTTATATAATAATAATACAGACTAATTAATTTGTCGCGGTTATCGTTAGACTAAACCCTAGTGGTATTGGTACTAGGTTTTATCAAAGGAAATTGTTTTGAGAGTATCGAAGCGCTGTCCGAGTGCTGAGTCACCACCTTTCAGGTGAGTGCATAGTTCCCTTTCATCTTACACATAGATATGAAGTATTTTATATAAATTGCGTGCTATGTGTGCATATTATCTGAGTACTTGTTGTCTATGCTAAATGAACGATTTTATACATGTTTTAAATGATTTAAATTGTATATGTATTTTATATCTACGATAATGTTGGGGTAAACATGGGTAGATTTAAGAAATGGAATATGATTTGAATGATGAGTTGAGAGGTGTTGTAGACCACGAGGTGAGGGTAAGAGGTGGATGATGTGAGAAGCCTTTTTCCCAAATGATGGCCCCATCATTCAACAGAGTATGGTTGACAACCACAGACTATTCTAGACAGTCAGTGGAACACTAGGAGGCTCGCAACCTGTAGGTGTTGTGAACGATGTGTTCACCCGGTGTACTCTAAACCTTGATGATCATGCAGACTTGATGCCTAAACCTTGGTGATCATGCAGACTTGATGCCTAAACACTGGTGATCATGCAGACTTGATGCCTAAACCTTGGTGATCATGCAGAATTGATGCCTAAACCTTGGTGATCATGTAGACTTGATGCCTAAACCTTGGTGATCATGCAGACTTGATGCCTAAACCCTCACGACTATGCAGACTTAGTGCCCGTTGTGTAAACCGTGGCAATGATGGACTTTGTGCCGATTCTTTAGGATAATCCTTAGGAATGAATGAACGAGGAATAGCTGATTCTTAGGGTAGATCCTTAAGAGTAAAGAAGATAATGGGGATGGGTAATTGGGTTTAATTGCTTGATTTTTTAAAAATAATAATTATATTATTGTGGGTTAAAAACCCTATGTACTCACCAGGTTTCCCAACCTGACCCACTCAGTTTATTTATATCACAGGTGTGGATACGAAGTCACTTTACACTGAGAGATTTAAAGAGATGTAGATCACCAGTGTAAATAAATGTAAGTTCTGTTTATGCTTATGTTTCTGTATTAACGATGACATCCCAAACGTTTTGAAATGAATAAAATACGTTTCTTCGAAAATGTTTTTAATAACGTATTTATCATGTTTTTATGGGAACAAATTCCGCAACATATTTATTAAAAGAAGTACTCTGATTTTTATAAAACATAAACAAAATCGGTCTATTTTGGCTGTGAAAATGGGGATGTCACATTTCCTACAACAAAATCGCAATATAATCCCGTCTTTTGAACAGATCAAACCCATAGGGGTTCTCGACGGAAGAGATACAGTTTCATACGAGCCCTAATTTCTCATCTGAATTCGTTAACTTCTTCAAATGGTTCTCAGACTTTTTTTCTCTCTCTACATTTTATTCTCCTTCATTTCTCGATCCCTAGAAGGTCAGGAGAACACTGCATCTGCAATCGGATTGCTTGGTCGTAATCCTCAGAGCGTTGAACACCGGTGTATGCTCGTTGTTTGTTAAAATTATCAAAGAAGGTCCCATGAAAGAGCAAGCAGTTGTCTCCTGGGTTGTATCGCTCGATTAACACAATTCATCAAACCCTAGAATCGTAAAGGAAACCTAGCCCTCTACATCGGACCGATTTGCACATCTGTTATTGATTACATGGTTGTGTAAGTTGTTAGGGTTTTTGTATGTTAACTTGGTTATGTTCGAAATATTGTGTTCAGGGGATATTCCAGCTACTATAGAAGAAGATGTTAACGTTTTTGTGGATGCTGCTCACAAAGCTCTGCAAATTTCTTCACAAGAAAGCATTTTCAACCATGGAAGCTGCCACACACAAACTGATACATCCAACAGTAGATGCTTTGCTGTCAATGCTTGCAGTAAGAAACATGATCAAAACATTCATCTTGAATTTAAGGTGAATTTATATGAAGCTCTGGACTTTATTATGCTTTTCTGTGATTACAATATAGATTCTCGTATCTTAGCTGCCTTCTGCATATTTAACACTATGTTCTGTTTGATTTGTAGGTCTATATAGTTGTATATTGACAATACTATTATTGGAAAATAACTTAGTTGAAAATTAGCAACTAGCAGTTCATTTATGGTGGACTTACAGCTGTTGGACAGTGTGAGATGAGATAAGAAGGGTTTGGTTGTGGGTATTTGGTTTAGATTTCTTTTTTTTGTTTGAATTTTGTTAATTAATTGGTGGACTTAAAGGTAGTTGAGCATTTGTTCTGAGAGAGATGTTTGTTGGGCTGGGGCTTCTCTTTCACAGTCAAAGGAAATGAGTCATTCATTTCAGTGTAACTAGCTGCATATGTTCCCTTCACTTTGACTATAACACAAGTATGCCTTTTTTTTTTAAAATATGAAATTGACTTTTGATGAAAGCTGATAGAGGAATATGTTTACTTATGTGCGCTTTTCTATATTTCAAATTTCTAGTGGAGGACTAAATTTAGGAAGATAGTGAACAAAGCTGATAATGATGCAAGCACAAGGGCAATCGATTCTCTTGTGCAAATATAATATGTAAGATCACAATTTACCTTTCGTTATTTTTTCTTTATCTTACAACTTATTTTTTCTCCTTTAGACTGTGAAGTATTTCAACAATGAGCAATTTGAAGCTGATGAGCATGATAAGTATTTAAAGAGTAAGTAGTTTTGATGCTACTCTCTTCACACAAATTTATTTATGTGAAAAGGGTAAAAAAAATAAGTTTTATAATGTTTACCTTAGGGTATGAAGATGCTGCCTTGAAGACACAATGTAGTGCATGATTTGGGAGGTACCCAACTTGTATTTTTTTTTTTTTATAAATATCTTGTGCTATAAACTTCTGATAATGACAATGACCCTTAACTTTGTTTTTAGGTATTGCTTGAGCCGATTGAAATGACATGTGATCCAACCTATCTTGTTAATTTTGTGGAGTTATATAATGTATTGGCTTCCTTTTAATCTCATGAAGGAAGGGTGAGTGTTATTCTGGTTTACATGTTTTGAAGTACTTGCATGATTTTTTAAGTGTTACATGTCTCAAAGTAGATGCATTCTTTATCTGTAGATATTGAATTCATTATTCCATTAATAGGAAACGCAAGTAATAGATTCTATATGATTAACTTATGAGGTTTTTGAGAAACTGGTTTCATGTTATAGGTCCTAAACTCGCTTAATGGGATAAAAGACATGAAGTCACATCTAACATCGAAATTCGAGTATGTCTTATCCTATGATCTTACTGCTGGAATAATATTATTTCCTGTAGGGTCTAGAAATGGGATTAGTAGCAAGCAACATTGTATTTAAACTACACATATGTATTTTCTCTTGTTTTGTTTTGTAGATACATGTTGTCAAGTCGGAAGAGAATAATTTGGGATATTAGTTTAATAAACATCAAGATAATTATTCCCTGTGAGAATGGGAAGTCAGAGATACATAAATTGGTATTGATTTCTTTTTAAATTTTCATACGAGGTTCACATTATTATTATTTGTATTTGTATTAACTTCAAACCTTAACATACACAAGTACTTGGATTAACAACTGTCACCTTTTCATCCAATCATGATGTTAGCTGTTTTGCACCAGATATCAACGTACCTTCTCAATTCATGAGGAATTTAATAGATGACAATTCTTCAAGTGAGCTTCTAGAAGGAACTCAGATTGAAGATCTGTATGATCTCTTGGAAATTAAACTAGTCGACTTCCAGGTCAGCTATCAGCATCTTCTCTCTCATTTTCACTCAACATCTAACATTTCACATAACTGACTGACCGATGTGTGACTTCCTGAAGATAAACTTGTTTGTGCCATTCTATCCTACTCATTATTTTCCTATTATGGAAAACCTCAATGCTTCTTCTGCTTTAGCATAGTGTAATGTTCAGGATGAATCATTACTGAAAGCAATGGAGGTAGGTATTTTTACATTATCCTACTAAAAGTTCAAAATTTTCGCACACTTGTCACCATTAATAATAATAATTGGTTTCAGGTTTATGTAGTGGTGGCACCATTTTTGGGACACGTGTCACCATCAATAATTGGTTCATGTTTATGTAGTGGTGTCACCATTTTCAGTTGGCAGTGTAAATTTCAGATTTCTCTTACGAAAGGTTTCCATTCTTTTGACAGATGAAAAGGTATGTAAACTGTTTTCTCATTTTCAAAAACATTAAATCATGTTTATTTAATATGTGATTTGGATTATCTAGTGGGGCTCCAATGGTCCTCTACTAGAGATTATTATGGGAAGCTTGTTGTTTCATGGTATCATAACTGCAAATGTGATGGAAGGATCGGTTGATAGTGAGCTTCAAGTGAACTACAATAACATTCATAAGGTGAAGTAATATTTCTAGCAATTTATGCAATGATGAATTGATGATAACTTATTTTGATTATACTCTCCAGGTACTATGGGAGCCTTTCCTTGAACCCTGGAAGTTCCAAGTAAGCTTAAGAAGAGAGCAAGGAAAAAGTGCCCTTCAAAACAGCCCAGTCATGACAGATGTTCATCTCGAGTCAACAATGAATCTCAATATCAATGTTACAGAATCCTTGATTGAGGTTGCTTTCAGAAAACTTGTAATGGTTTCTAGCTATTTTCTCTAAAAATATTCTATTTTCATGATAGGTCATACTCACAAATGCAAAAACAATTCCATTTGAAGTCAGATTCGATATCCCATTTGGTGTCTCTCCCAAGATTCTGGACCCTGTATATCAAGGACATGAGTTTCCTCTTCCTCTACATTTTGCAGAATCAGGTCGGATAAGATGGCGTCCATTAGGGAACACTTACCTATGGAGTGAAGCTTATAGCATTTCCAATATTCTTTCTAATGAAAGTAAGATTGGACATTTGAGGTCATTTGTCTGCTACCCTAATCTAATCATATAGAATCTTCTCCTTTGATCTTACTTGAATATTATTTCCTATAGGGTCTAGAAATGAGATTATTACTAATAACAATAGATAATTACTTTGCTCTTCATGGGATTTTCAGGTATTATGTTACTTTGCTTCACTATTTCCAAAAAACATAAACTTGTTTTGGCAAGATTAGGTACCAATGGCCCCGGAGTTCTGGCACCTTCCATCTTTACTTCCTATGTATCCAGCTTAATCTACTCGTATTAATTCATGTCTCAAAGTGTGTATTCCAATATCAGGTATCATGATTTGTGTACTTACAAAATTTTTAAATAGGGTCTTGTTCAATGCTTTAGCTGTGTTTGCTCTAAGGGAGATCAACTTATCAAAAGTAAGTTATTTTTTCACCCTTTTATTTAATATTTTTGTGATTGAATGAAAGTGTTAATGAAAGTAATTGAGAACCCTTTTTCTATAAATGATGTTGTGATTGTGGGAGAGGTGTTGTATTTTTCTCTGTTGCTAGGTAACCTTCTCAAGAACAACGTTCTACTTAAGCAGGTGAGTAATCAAGATTAAGGGAGACTTGTAATTATGTTTGGCATTCCTTTCCAATAAGAAACAGAGTTGTATGATTATTTGTTAGTTTTATAGGAATGTATAACCCTGGTTAGCAATGTATTATTTTTGTTTAACATTTGAATGATTCTTTGTATGACATTATAATTTGTGCAATTTATTTTTATTTTTTGAGTATGAAATCTTATTTTATATTATGCAATGGATTGAATTTTTTGTATATGATATTTTATTTCTATTATGAGAAATTCAATGCAAATTTAATTTAAAAATTAATAAATATATAATTTTTTTGAACATTTAAATTTACGATACGCAAAATTGTGTGTCATCTTCATTTATAACATGGCCTTTCTTGACAGGGGCTTTCTTGATACGCATTGTGTGTCATTAACACGTGCATCGTATGGTTACGACACGCGAATGCGTGTTGTCTTCCTTTTTGACATGGCCTTCCTTGATACGCATTGCGTGTCGTAAACGCGCATCGTAATTGCACGTCGTAAATGAGCATCGTAAATGCGCGTCGTCTCTCTTTATGACAGGGTCTTCCTTGACGCGCATTTGCGCGTCGTCTGAGCCTTTTACGACGCGGAACGAGCGTCGTAAAAGGCTATTTTTCTAGTAGTGAATCTTGGTGACATGTGAAGCTTTCCTATTCCTCATGATTAAATTTATCTTCCCATGCTCCACATTCTAACTTCCTCTTAGTCCCTACAAATCAAACACATGTGAATACCACAACCTGTATCAAGGATCCATGAATTAGAATAGGATGAGTTATTAGCTAATATAGTGTAAATACCTGCATGGTTGGGTTTTACTTTCCCATCCTTAACATCTTGCAAGTACTTTGGGTAGTTTCGCTTCCAGTGTGCCTTTTCATGGAAATAGAAGCATTCACCCTCTTTAGGTTTGGCAGAAGGAGTGATAGAACCACCTTTGGTTCTACTTGAAGAGGAGCCATCAAGAAATTTTGTCACACCCTCGAACCGGACCGCGGAAACGTCTGAGGGCTCGTGTGACAACCAATTGAATTATCATCACAATGAATATACATTAATCACAACATGATCATTGCCAAACATTACATATTACAACCAAAATTGTTCACATCAAGTACATTGTATAATAATACATATTTAGATCATAAATTGTACAGGAGTTAACATTTCACAAAAATAAGATTCCTAAAATACACTTGATAATTCTTTTGTTTAACAGTTACCTGAGAATATAAGTTATTTTGAAAAAAGTCAACATATATAATGTTAGTGAGTTCATAAAAAAGTTTGATTTGAAAAGCTTTGTATCGATAATATAACACAGAAAATCCGATATTTTTTGTAAAATTTGTTTACAACATGATGTGATGCTCTAATATATGTATGTATGTATGTGTGATTACAAAACATGTGTAAATGAATGAATCCCAAAAGCTTTCCGTGTCTTGTATTTGATGTATGTAAAAGAAAGTAAATGATGGTAATTCCCGAAAAATCTGATATTTCCCGATCTATAATAGTATTTTAATATTTGTATTATCGTATGAATTGTTTTGAATCACCACAATATATGAATTTGATTTCCCATGAAAAGTATAGATGGTAATGGATCTCTATGTGAGTCGTTATAACCATGCATGATAAATGACTAATTCGCCTTTCTTGGCATTTTTCCAAACGTCGGTTTCGATCAAGATTTTGTCACCCAAGACTGGCCGAGTTTAACTGTAGTGAATAGCTCAGGTGTGGGGGAGTCACCCCCGTATAGATCCATACACAAACTCTCGCTCTCCCTACAGGAGACTCTGATTATAACTACAGGCTACGACCAAACACTCAATGGTGTCGACCGATAATTCTCACTAGACCCCAATGATTTCCTCATGAATATGTTTAATGTTAAACATAGTTTAATTTACAAACACCTGATGGTACTTGAATGTGAAAGACACAGCCCAACAAACATGAATAAGAACTGTTGTGGCCCATTAAACACGAAAGTTATTTCTAGGCTTGATGGCATGCAAACGGACATATTGAAGCCTATTAAGCATACAATGGATCTCTCCAGGCAAAATTAACATGCGAACGGGCCACTAAGGCCCAATAACATGTAAAAATTAATTTAGATCCATTGAGCATGTCATTGGGTCACTAAGGCCCACTAGACATGAATTGAATATATTGGGCCCAATAAACATGCAAATGGATCACGAATGCCCAATAAGCATGTATTACAAGTACGAGGCTCAATATTCATACCGTTGTTCTATTTTTGAATATTTGATGTGGTATAGTATTTTATATGAAGCATTTATCTATGATGTTAAGATATACAACGTTTGATCTATAATGATATTATTAGTTTATAAAATATACCATTTTTAAAACCTAATAAAAAATTTATATCCTTGACCCAATTCCTGTGAATTTTACATTTTTGGCCCAAAATCCAAAATCTTTTCATTTTTAGCCTCAATTTAGAAATAAATGTTATTTTCACCCTTGGATTTGGTTTAGTTACATTTATGGCTTACACTTTGTGTAAATAACATTTTTGGTCTAAAAATATTTATTTTTCACAAGTTTGGGCCCAAACCGTGAGGCCCAAAAAAATTAAGCCCATTAGTCTAAGATTTACCCCTTTGGTCCTTTAAAAAGTTTGATTTTCACAAAAAATCAGTTTTAAACAAATTCACTCTTTTTGATCGTTATATAAATCGAAAATGTCACTTTTTGCCCTTATCTTTGTTTTCTTGACAAATATGATCCTTATTAAGATTTTTGCTTTAAATTTTCATATCTTAAACATGTAAATACTTTTAACTTTATAATATGATGTATAAGGTGTCTTAGTTCGTGAATTATTACTCATTGTTTTTTATGATGTCGAGATGTGTTAAGATCTAACACATTTTTACAAGATAAACCAAGAAATCACACATATTAAGCATATAACACATAGATCTACACATTTTACTTGTATTCTCCCCTAAAAATCATGTAAAATCCAAAAAACAACGACTATGAACTCACCTTTGCTTGATGTTTCAGTTTTGAAGAAGAAATGGAGAGGTTTTCGGCCTTTAGCAAACTTCCTTGAGTGGTTTTCAAACTTAGGAGGTTTCTAAGAGCATGATTTACAAACACTTGTTTAGAAGGAGTGTCTTGACATAAAATGAAGTTATAGCACTTGGTTATGTAAGAACTTACCAAGAAATGATGATTTTTGGTGGTAAAACCTTCTTGAAAATGCTCAAAATCTCGAAAATTTGAGAGGAAAGGAAGAGTTGTTTTTGAAATTGTGTGTGTGTGTGTTGTTGATTTTGCTCTCAGCCGAGAATAAGAGAAAAGAGGGGGTGAGAAGAGTGTGCATGGATACATGAGACTTGTCTAGATGCATGTGGTGTATTAAACTTGGTTATCCTCCAAATAATAATGATGTGTAATAGTTTGATTAGTTTAACCTTCATTATTATTATTATTATTATTATTATTATTATAATTATTATTATTATTATTATTATTATTATTATTATTATTATTATTATTATTATTATTATTATTATTATAATTATTATTATTATTTTACACACTTGGGCCAAAATGGGACAATTATGGGGAAGCTTGGGCCTTATCTTGGTCCTTGCTCAAAATTATGAATCCCATATGGAAGGTTTTCGGCCCATTGGGCCCTTAAGTGTATTCACGGCCCAATTTGACATAAAAGAATGGATTTATGGCCTATTAGGGTTAATTGGATTAGTTATGGCCCAATAAGGCCCATTAAGGTAAAGCAATTTATTTTGGACCCAAAATGGCCCAAAATGCTATGTTTCATGAAAGTGGGTACAGTTAGATCCCATTTAAGGGTCCTAAGCCTAAAATAGTCAAATTGGAAGCTTATTGGTCCATTAGGCCCAATAAGAAGACCCTAGTCCATAATGGACTTAAACCGAGATACTTAGGGTTTCCAATAATAAGTTGATTATTTGAAATGTTTTGTATAAAATTTTAGGCTTTACAATTGGATTTTGTTGTGACATCATGCACATTTTCAAGTTATGGTTACAATTGTTGCCATTGCTAACATTTACAAACATGTAGAATTTCCTAGCTAAATTGGTAGTTATGTCAGATTTTCCCTTGGTACCCTTCGAAAGGCTCTTCCTCTTCTTCCCATTACCTTGCCTGATGACCAGAACATGGGAGATGGTAGGAGTAGGAGTGGTAACAACCGATTTACCTTTAAGACCGATTTCAGCGATCTTCAAAAGTCCTTGAAGTTTGCTAAGTGTGACCTCATCCTTGTTCATGTGATAGGTCATTCGGAATTGATCATAACAAGAAGGTAGGGAGTGAAAAATGATGTTAGTTGCCAACTCCTAGAGGAAGTTCACATTCAATTTCAGCAAACGGTCCACATACCTTTGCATTTTCTGTAAGTGGCCCGTGATGGATTCACCATCCTTTCAGGTTGTTATCATGGAAGATATGATATTGTAACGACTCGTTCCCGGTA